CGGCGTACCGAACCGCAAACAGCCACAGAAAATGGGGGGCAGCCGCATGCACCATGGACGTACGGGCGACGTCCATGACAATGCCGATGCGGCGCTCAGCAATCCCATTATGCTGTGGAGAGTCCGGAAGCGTGAAGGGGGTGGATGCCTCGTGCCCGACAGTAGGCTCGCAGAAGGCCGGAGGAGAACTCTCCGCCTCTGTCCGAGTGCAGACGCAAAACAGGAAAGTCCGAGCCGAAGCTCCGCCTGAGCTGGAGACGAGCTGCGCGGATCCAGTCGATCAACACCTCAGTGACGTCACCCTTGCTGCGCAAGGGGAAGACTGTGGTGTAACGCGAGTAGTCGTCAACCACTAGCAGGAAGTAGCGCTCGTGACCCTGTCCACGGACGCGGGCTGGGCCCCACACGTCCATGTGAAGCGTCTGCATCGGGGCCTTCGTCGGAGGAAACGGGGAGGAGTGAGGGGTAGCCCGCAGGCGACCCTCGACACAGGGGACACAGGGAGGGCCAGGCCCCGGAGGAAGGGGAGGGAGGGACCGGGGAAGGCCAGAGACAAGAAGGCGAGAGGCCATGCCTCGAAGACGAGGCAGGGAGGGGTGACCCATCCTGTGGTGCCACAGGAGGGTCTCGTGGGACAGGAGGCGAGAAGAGCAGGGGGCAGACTCAGGACCAGACCTGGACGCTGCAGCAAACACCTGACCCGACGCAGCTACCTGACCAGACGCAGGAGGAGGAGACGGAACAGTGAGTGTGTACAGGCTCGACCCCGGCCCACGTGTGAACGTGGTCAAGTGTCGACCCGTGTCCGCGTCCGTGCAGTGGGTGTCCCGTCGGCGTGCAGGGGTGAACTGGTCGACCCCTGCATCCTGTAGGTCAGCACCCGCCACCAAGTTCGTAGAGAACGAGGGGAGGTAGAGACCGGACAGGGCGCCAGACGGGACCGCAGGGCACGGCAGGACAGTGGAGTAGCGAGCAAGAACAAGACCCCCAGAGGGGTCCGCCAGGGAGACCGCCACTGGCCGACTAAGCGTCGTGAGTGTGGTGCGGTCTCGAAAGAAGGAGCGAGACGCCCTTGAGTCAAGAGTGAAGGTGAGAGAGGGCGGAGCCGACGCAGTACCTGAGAGAGTAGACTCACCAGCACCTGAGGACACAGACTCACTGGCACCTAGAGCGACAGCCTCACCAGCACCTGGAGCAGCAGCCTCAACAGCACCTAGAGCCGCAGTACCAATGCCCGGGTCGGGCGGGAAAAACCGGTAACAGTCACCCTCCTCACTAATAGTCACAGCATACATGGCAGCAAGAATAGCATCAAAGTCAAGATCAAAGATAGCTACTCCTGCCCTAGACAGATGGTCCCAACGAGGGATCTCAGAGGCGTGAGGAAACTGGCGGCGCCAAGCGTCAGTAAGGCGGCCGAAGCAGCGCTGGGCGGGGTGTGGACCACCACACGGCTCACCCGCACGGTCGCCCGTGCGCAAGACGTAGGTGCACGGACCAGTACCCCCACCCCTCTGACGTGCAGCGTACCACTCACGGAGCTGCTGCGGGGAGAGGGTCTCCTGACCACGCTGCTGCCGCTGCTGTTGGCGCTGACCGCCACCGGAGCCACTCCTCTGCGACGAGCCACGACCTCCTCCGCCGCCTCCTCCGCCGCCGCCGCCACCACCTCCGCTGCCACCGCCACTCCCATCGTCGCTGCCGCCACCGCCGCCTCCGCCTCCACTCCCACCACCACCGCCGCTGCCACCCCCGCCTCCACTGCCGCCGCTGACACCTCCACTCCCGACACCACTCCCGCTACCACCCCCACCTCCTCCGCTGCCTCCACCGCCGCTCCCACCGCCCCCGCCGCCTCCACCACCGCTCCTGCCCCCTTTGCCCTTGCCAGAGCGACGTCTCCCACTGGGGGCAGACGCCGCACCGACCGACTCTAAACCAACTAGGTCGGCCGTATCAGCAGAGGCGACAGAGGGCAGGAGGGGGGAGGGGGAACACCCCTCAAAGATGGGGGTGCGCGGGTCACCAGGAGAGGCCCCTACAGCGAGAATGCTCTTCTCGGCTGCTAGGAGGGACTTCTCGAGGAGGTTAACAGTGAGAGTGGTGGGGCAGACTGAGAGTAAGTCGTCCCTGACTCCGCGGAGGGAGTCAGGGAGGCGGGTGACAATGTAGTAGAGAGTGAAGTACTGGGGGGGGGGGTTCTTGGCGCAGAACTCAGCAGGAAGCGCAGCACGGAAGCGAGCGTCACTAGTGCGCAGGTGGGTAATGAGGTCGGCAACTGTGGCAAAAGAAGCAAGGTCGGGAAAGAGGTACGGTAGCATGAGGCGGCTCAGTGCAGCAGTGGCAGGGGTGGAGTAGCGTGCAATAACGGCGTCGTACAAGGTCTGAGCACTCTTGTACGACCCAAAGTGTGCACGCTCAGAGGGAGGGAGGTGGCGACGCACAGCAAGACGTGCAGCAGCATCGCGTGTGGCCCACTGTGAGCGAACAGTGGCATCCTCAGTAGCAGCAGGGGCGGGAGAGGCACCAGAAGTGAGATCAAAGAGAGAGAGGCCGTCAGCTCTGTCGCACTGTAGGAAAAGCAGCAGGTCGTCTACCCACACGTCAAAGTCGATGGCTCTGCCCTCAGCGTCGAAGGTGAGGACACTGGGGGTAGCCATGACAGCAGTGGGGTAAGGGCAGTGCGCAGAGTAAAGCTCAGTGCTCACCATACAGGGCAGTGCAGGCGGCTCGGGCGGCTCGGGCGGCTCGGGCGGCTCGGGCGGCTCGGGCGGCTCGGGCGGCTCGGCGGCTCGGCTGCTGGGCGGCTCGGGTGGCTCGGCGGCTCGGGCGGCTCGGGCGGCTCGGCTGCTGGGGCGGCTCGGCTGCTGGGGCGGCTCGGCTGCTGGGGCGGCTCGGTTGCTGGGGCGGCTCGGCTGCTGGGGCGGCTCGGCTGCTGGGGCGGCGCAGTTGCTGGGGCGGCGGGGCCGGGAGATGCAGCTGCGGGGCCGTTAGGGGTAGTGGCGGGGCCGGTAGGTGAAGCGGCGGGGCCGTCAGGTACAGCAGCGGGGCCGGCAGGTGCAGCAGCGGGGCCGTCAGGGGTAGCGGCGGGGCCGGTAGGTGCAGTGGCGGGGCCGTCAGAGGGGACGGCGGGGCCGTTAGGTGCAGCGGCGGGGCCGTCAGAGGGGACGGCGGGGCCGTCAGGTGCAGCGGCGGGGCCGTCTGAAGCAGCGGCGGGGCCGGCAGAGGGGACAGCGGGGCCGTCGGGTGCAGCGGCGGGGCCGGCAGAGGGGACGGCGGGGCCGTCAAGTGCAGCGGCGGGGCCGGCAGAGGGGACGGCGGGGCCGTCAAGTGCAGCGGAGGGGCCGGTAGAGGGGACGGCAGGGCCGTCGAAGGCGATCGCGGGGCCGTCAGAGACGGCGCCGGCGTCGCGAGGGTCAGAGGGGGCGGCGCGCGACTGGAGGGCGGCACGCGCGACGTGGCGCGGCCGTCTAGGGGCGGCGCGACGAGGCCGCGTAGGTGGCGCGCCAAAAAAAAATCGCGGGCGGCTCGACGCGATCGGGCCGCCAAAGGAAAAAAAAGGGCCCAGCACGACTCGGGCTAGGGCAGAGCGCGCTCCGGGCAGGACGGAATAGTAGGTGGGCCCTAGGAACAGTTCCCACTAGGGAACCTGCTCTGATACCATGTTGAGATAGAGGCGAGGAATGGATGCACTATGAAATGAAACAAGTACAAGTACCAACCCTAATTGGGTTGTACCCCATATGGGCTACCCCACTACAGCCTAAATATATGCATCAGTAATATAATCATCTGACACATCGCACGAAGAAATGTGGCTTCCAGCAATTAGCTGGAAGCCTTCCTGGTGACTCCCGTTTTCGGGAGTCCTGTCAATCTGCTTTCAATGCGGGGGGGTAATTGTGGGGCAACAGAACCACCCTGAAGTCAACCTGCGCACTGCCGAAACCAACCTGCGAGGCGATTGAAATGTGTAAGTTGCGCATTGCATGTCAGTTGGGGCGAGTAATCTAGTTTGTTACTTTCGGAAACGAAAAGAAGGCCCTCGCACAGGCGAGAATTGACAAGTTCAGTTGTAACCACTCGCGTAACAAAATTGTTAAAGTTGGTTACCGCGTGATAACAATATGCTTATGTATAAAAGCGATAAAGAAAAGTTTAGTGGATATTTGTTCCTATCGGAGATGTGACAAGGCGACATTTAATTGAGATAACTACACTGCTAAAATTATGATCAGAAGAATTTCGAATGGGTTTAGTACCAACAAATCAAAACAATTCCCTAATTATAATTAACTATTATTAAACGCTTACAATACTAATTGATTAGAAATTAATCATCAGAATGTCACATACTAAACCTACAAATGCACTACAGCTACATAAAGCTACTAAACATCCTCTACAATTTGCCAATCCTTAACAATGACATCTCCAAAATAGTAGAACCCACTGACTAGTGGAATGCTAGCGTGACGGACCCAGCTCTCAACCTGGAACTTCCTCTTGGTCATTTCGCGGGTGTTGTTCTCGGAATCAGAAAACATGCTGCTTCGATCACGACATAGCATCTCAAACTCGACCTGCCAAGAAAAGAGCGAAATTAGCCGGTTGAAAACGGCAAAATAAAGCATTATAAATGCATGTTCGCTCACCGCGACCATGGTGTAGCACAGCTGGTCAATGCTCAGGGTGTAGACACCCCCCTCTTTCTTCTGTCACTTGCTTGCAGCAGCTAAGAACGCCTCGCTACAGAACGGCTTGTTCTCGTCAACATGCCACGGCAGGCCAAACTCCTCTGAAATTAAAAACACAGGAGTCACAAACACGTCATAACTAGAGCAACAGCAATAAGATAACTCACGTACCAGAGACACAGGCTCGAGCATAATTGCGCCGATCCTCAACGGAGTTGTGAACGACTTTGCCATCAGTGTACTTCAGCAGCTTGAAACTCGCCTTCCGGGACTTGTTCCCGAGTTTCCCCCGCCGGCCGTTACAAATGCCGGTGCACCTCTTCGCCCACTCGCCCTTCTTCCAATAGTCGTTAAACTTCCCGAAGTCTTCGGGCTCCAGAGCGAGATGAACCACAACGGCCGCCTTGAACTGATCTTCGTCAGGGTAAATGACTCGCTGGGAGACATCTGATCCCTTGAGCAAATCATCGCACGCCTTCTTACAGGCATCCTGCGAAAAGAACGAGAGTTTAGAACATGTCTCATAAGCCAGACAAAACAATAAGCAAATAACGGACACTTACTTCCATGGTTTTCTCGTTGCACCAGCTCGGCTGGTGCACAATTTTGAGAAGATTCTTGACAGTAGCAGCCAGAGTCTGGTGGATCTCATCCGATACACGAAACCGGTTTTCAATTCGCAGCATCAGAGTGCGAACGTCTTTCAGCTCGCCGCGTATGGCAGCGTCCATGTGGTTGTACGAGTTGGCCTCGGGGTGATGAACATCACGATCTGACGAGCGCACACCTGAAAACACAAGGGAGGTTTCATTAGAGCAAAACGTCATGACACTTAAATATTTATAATAAGGCCAAATGAAACAATGGAGAAAACGCTGACAAACAGAATAGTAATCAGTAAAACGCACCGCCAGTTCTAGAGGATGCGATGACATTTGCCGTAGCACCAGGTTGCGCCACGTGTGCGGTAGCGTTCGAAGCGTCGTTGGGAGAGGCAACTCCATTGTCTGCTGTGTGCTCGGCCTTAAGTGCCTCAAGGTCTTGCAGAGGCTGGGGTTCCGCAGGCTGAGCGCTCGGGGTACCCACCTGCTGGGCTGGAGTAGAATTTCTACGAGCTCCTGTGGTTGGGCTACCAAGCTCGTAGCCTTCGAGACGCATGTTGGAGGTTCGGGATCTCTTACGCTGCAACTCCATTATTTGTGGGGGCACGCCTACCGCCATGTTTCCTAAAGTGCCCACTAACAGGCATAGGGCACGTAGATGAAAACGAGGCAAAAAATAGTGGGACTAGGCGGAACTTTGAGAACGAGAGGAAGCTCGGCTGGTTGGAAACGAGGAGAAGCTGCTCTTGTAGGATACGAGATGAGTAGCACAGGTCGTTGGTATCGATGACTAAGAGGCATGTTGTGATGGGTAGTGTTGACAGCGTGAAGGTTCACCCCGAGCTACTTCACGAGCAAATTATTACACCGATACCACACTTTGCGAGAACAGTGGACCAAACCCTTCACCTCGGGCTTTAATCAAGGACCCTGCTCGAATGGACCAGAACGTTAAACGCTAGTGCGATAGATGATACATCGCACTTAGTTGCGAGTCGTTTAGTAAGTACCGAACAGCATTACACAGGACATGCGAATTCAAATAATGAAAAGGTGCTTTGGTTCACTTTTTGAAACGAGATTGTCCTTGAAATATGCCAAAACGCTCCACACATTGGTGCTATACCTGGCAATGTATGGTCTCACGACACATACGTGCCAAACAACGCGACAACTGCGCCGCTGAACAACGAACTATTCAGCGAACAAGGACAGAGCAAAAAGTTTAGTGACGTGTATCTTTCCAGGCGTGGTCGCTAGGCATGGAAGTCCAACGAATGAGAGGCTTGTTGCCTGCGAAACTGGCAACATTGTCGAAGTCACTGGAAGGCTGACAGCTGCAAGTGACGTCCTGCGAAGCTGTTACGAATGACCCATTTCTACTTTGCATCGAGCCAGACAAACCTTAACAATGGCATGGTGGACACAGCACAGCAGGCAGATAACTGCGCGCTAGCCAACGAGGCAGGAAAGGCTACCCAGTTGCGCGGCAGCATGCCAGCAAGCAACTGTGTAATGATTACTAGCGTGGCACAACATCGCCAACAACGCACGGGTGAATGTTACACTTCCAATCGGAACAAGGGATAATAGGGGAGACATAGCGGACTCGTTTCAACAAGCGTTGCTTGTGAAGAAAGGAACGTGAATGAAATGACTACGAATGAAGTGAGTACAAATAGGAAACCCTAGTTGTGTTTGTGAAACTGAATGAACGGGAGTGAATGACTATGAAATGAAGTGGGTACAAATAGGAAACCCTAATTGGGTTGTACCCCCTATGGGATACCCCACTATAGCCTACAGAAACAAGTAAGCTATATGTTCTGACACACCCCCATAGGCAAAGTGGGGGAGAACAAGGGGTCACAAGACCAGTCAAGCAAAGCAAAGCAAAGCTCAGGGTGGATCACAAAGTCACCACGCATTCCGAGCACAAGTTCAAAGGCCAGAAGGCCAGTTTACATGCAAGATCATATATAGAGATATACAAGAATCAAGCAAGCAAGAGCAAGAGTATATATATATGCGAAGGTACAAGCAAGGTCAAGAGGAGAGCAAGTGAGGCAAGACAGCCACAAGACCCAACTGCGTGCAACAACGCTGATGATCACAAGGCGCAAGTGCCTTGGTGAACACATCAGCAGTGTTGGCCTCAGAGGCCACGTACGCAAGTTGTAGCTGTCCACGCTGCTGTAGCTCACGAGCAAGAAAGTAGCGGAGAGCAATGTGCTTCGTTCTGTGCTCCAGTCGCTGCTCTCGACACAAGGCCAGCATGGCCTTGTTGTCTACGTACAGGACTGGAGGAGAACGAGGCTGCTCTCCAAGGTCGGTCAGCAGGTAGGTGAGCCAGCGTAACTCCTGTGCAGCCATAGCCCCAGCGTAGATCTCAGCCTCACAACTGGAGCCGAGAACAGAAGACGAGCGGGTAGCCCGCCACGAGACAGAGCCGGAACCTAGGCTGAAGGTGTAACCCTGTGACGACCGCTGCGTAGCCTGGTCGTCAGCCCAAGAAGCGTCTGCGTGTCCAGTGAGGACCACTGGACTGCGCCCTCCAAGCACTAGCCCCATGCCCGACGTACTGCACAAGTAGCGCAACACCCTCTTCGCTGCAGCCATGTGCTCTGGTCGGTGTCTCCCAGGAGCAACAAAGCGTGCGAGAATGCTAAGAGGGTATGCGAGGTCAGGTCGTGTGCAGGTCATCAGGTACATGAGGCAGCCAACAAGCTCTGCAAACGGGCCACTCGACTCTACGGACTCATCCGAAGGCAGAGCTGAGAGCGAGTGGCGAGTAGGCAGAGGAGTGGCCTGAGGCGAGGAGTACGTGAAGCCGAAGCGCTGAAGGACCTGCTGCACCATGTGTGACTGAGTCAGGGTAATGGTGCGGCGTGCTCTGTCCCGGGTGATCTGCAAGCCAAGGTAGCTGCGCAGTTCACCCAGGTCAGTGCACGTGTGTCTCTTCTGCAGCTCGGACTTCACGTAGGCGAGTCCAGCAGTGTCAGCTGTGGCAAAGACCAAGTCGTCGACGTACACGAGGATGTAGAACGGCGGCAGAGAGGTGTCGGTGCGAAGAAACAGCGACGGGTCGGCAGTAGAAGGAGCAAACCCAAGTGCCGCGAGCGTAGTCCTCAGTGTGTCGTGCCACTCACGTGGCGCCTGGCAGAGACCGTAGACTGGACGCCGGAGACTCCACTGGGTACCAGGAGGGAAAGACCCAGTGAAGCCAGGTGGGCGACGCAGCCAGATCTCCTCGTGCAGGCTGCCCTGCAAGAAGGCAGTGCTGAAGTCAAGAGAGTGCAGCTCGTAGTCACGGTGAGCAGCAACGTGCAGAAGAACCCGAAGAGTGGTCATCTTCGGGGTGGGGGAGAAGGTCTGAAAGTAGTCAACCCCCTGCCGCTGACTGAAGCCACGAGCCACGTAACGCGCCTTGAAGACAGGCGGAGAACCCGGCGGCCGCTTCACCCTGAAAATCCACATGCCACTGACGATGTTCACCCCAGGAGGGGGAACAGCGTCAACGTAGGTGCCTGTGGACTTCCAGGAAGCCATCTCTGCATCCATAGCTGCCTGCCACTGAGAGGAGTAGGGACCCTCTATCGCCTCCGCGTAAGAGCGCGGAGTCGGGATGTCTGGTGCATCCGGGTCTCCCTCAGGGGCTAGCAGTACAGACGCAAGACGAGGTGAAGCAGCGGCTAGACACTGGAACTCCTCCTGCCTGTCCTCAAGGACGTCCGTGCCAAGGGCACACTCACCCCCGACGGACGGAGGACAGGCGGACTCAGACTCAGTGACAAGACGAGCAGCGTAGTCTAGACGACAGCGCGCAGCAAAGTCGACAAGCTCAGTGACAAGGGCAGACGCAGCAGACGACTCGAAGGAAGGGTCAGTGACAGCAGTAGCAAGGAGACGCGTGACAGTAGGACTGGCAGCGCGAAGAGAGTCCGACTCAGGGTCGGCAAGAGCAGGAAGAGAGGAAGCAGGAGGAGAAGGCAAAGGGGCACGCAGAGGAGCAGTGGACGGACGCAGTGACATCCGGTGCGTGCCAGGGACAGGAGGAGGACGCTGACGCGAACCACGACCACTAGCGCGCTCAGTACGAACAGGCGACGCAGGACGAGACGCAGGCTCACGACGCTCAGTAAGACCTCCAGTCGGACCAGCGTAGGGAGAAGGAGCAGGCAAAGGGGAGGCAGGCTGTAGCTGTGGCTGTGACCGAACAGGCTGCGGACCCTCTAAGGGAGCAGGAGGAGGTGCAAGACCAAGAACCTGCTGCAGGAGCGGAACGAAGTACGGTCGGGGCCGCGCGGCGACACCAGAAACAGCAGGAACAGCAGCAGCAGCCCCGTCCGGAGCACCCACTCCAGCAGCACCTCCAGCAGAACCACTAGAAGCTCCAGAACCTCCAGCAGCAGCACGAGGAACACTGTCAGTCGGACCGCCAACCGCAGGCTCAGCGCCAACACCCTCAGCAGGACCACCTCCAGGAGAACTCTCAGACCCAGCAGCTCCAGCACCCACAGTACGAGCACCGCCAGGACGCGTGGCAGCAGTACCCTGTGCAGCCGAAGAACCACCAGCACCAGCAGCACGCCTCCAGCGCCTGGCAAACCACTCACGCAGCTCCTGTGGGGGGAGTGGCTCTCGGCGAGACGAAGCACCCCCAGGCACAGCACCCCCAGGCTCAGCACCCCCAGGCTCAGCACCCCAAGGCACAGCACCCCCAGGCTCAGCACCCCCAGGCTCAGCACCCCCAGGCTCAGCACCCCCAGGCTCAGCACCCCCAGGCACAGCACCCCCAGGCTCGACACCTCCAGGCTCAGCACCCCCAGGCACAGTACCCCCAGGCTCAGCCCCCCCAGACTCCGCACCCTCAGGCTCAGCTCCCGCAGCAGCACCAGAGTCACCAGTGACCTCGACAGGCTCGACCGCGTCTACCTGGGACACACCTAAAGGGGCAGGACCCTGAGGGGGGAGGGGGACTACCGGGGGGGGACCTGGTACCAAGAAGAGCGGGGGCGGGGGGAGGGACGGAGTGCGGTAGGGGAAGAGGCGGTAGTAGGGTACCGACTCGTCGAACGTGACGTCCTGGGAGGACAGAACACGTCGAGAGGTGGGGTGGTAAAACTGCCACCCAGGGGCGTCGGGGGGGAACCCCAGGAAGACGCAGGGAGAAGCACGAGGGGACAGCTTGTCCGCAGACAGGTCGCGAACAAACGCCCGAGATC